ACTTTCCTTCTGTTCCACCATCTTGTTCCACCCCTAAGATTCTTGCTTTTAAGAGATTAATCTAATAGGGAGGGTAAAAAATGTGTATAGTGCTGGGGTGTAGTGACAGGTACCTGTCAGGCAGGAGAGAAGCTTGGGTAGCCCAGTGGGACCCCATCTTGGAAGGTAAATGAAATACATGTAAGCTTCTGTGAAAACAGAGAAAACATGAATAGCCACAGTGAAAGAATGTGCAAAAGGCTAGAATCATACTTTAATTTAATTAGAGAAATGGGGGGCTATTTTTATAATCTTTCAGAAGGGTAACATTCTCTAAGCAACAAGAAGTCATAAAGGATTTTACAACATAAAAAGGTAAAATTTCTAGATAGCAAAAGACCTCATTAAGAAAGACTAATAGGGAGAAAACAATCTATAAACAAAAGGTTAGTATGAAATATTAATATATAAAGATTTCCTACAAAATAATAAGGAAAGATAATCTAGTGGAAAAATAGGGAAAAGACATAAATAGATAATTCATATAATTAATGTAAATATTCAATAAACAAACTGTTCAACCTTCATAATAATCAAAAAATATAAATAGATATTCTCTTACAAATTGGCTTGATAATGACTTTTAAAAACTAATGTAGCTAGCGTTAGCTAGGATGTAGAGAAACAGGCTTGCTCATGCACTATTCATGAGAAAGTGAATTGATACAGCCTTTCTAGAGGGACGGTTTAGCAATATCCATCAAACATACACATGCATATAGCCTCTTAACCCCTGAGTCATGTGTATTTTTGATTTTGATAGTCATTGCTGAATTGTTCTTCAGAGTGGTCCTTTCAGTTTACATACCCAAAGAATCAGTCCTTTAGGAGGAAATATCTAGAAATGGTCATTGCAATATTTTTTTTGCAAGATCCAAAATTTTGAAATATTCTAAATCTTTATTTAGGTAGTTAATTTGTGACTCTCTATACTGTCAGCTAGTATGTTATCATTTAAGATGGCATATGAAAACATTCATCTAATCTTGTTCCCTAGGCTGGTTATGGTGGCTCACACCTGTAATCCTAGCACTGTGGGAGGCCAACATGGGTGGATTGCCTGAGCTCAGAAGTTTGAGACCAGCCTGAGCAAGAGTGAGACACTGTCTCTACTAAAAATTGAACAACTAGCCAGCTGTTGTTGTGGACACCTCTAGTCTCAACTACTTGGGAAGCTGAGGCAAGAGGATCACTCAATCCAGGAGTCTGAGGTTGTCGTGAGCTATGATGCCACTGCATTCTACCCAGAAGGCACAGTGAGACTCTGTCTTAAAAAACAAATAAATAAAATAATCTTGTTCCCTCCCCAGACTCCTCTGAAAACATACTGAAGTTGTTTATTTTTTTTTTTTTGAGCACAAACCTACAAGGATGAGAAAAATAAGAGAGGATACTAAATAGCTAAACATGTTATAAGGGGGAATATGGATGGATGGATGGATAGATGAGTAGGTAGATGAATCTTAGGTAACTTAATATTCTGTGATAAAGCCAATACTAAGCTGGTAGTGGAGAAATCTAAGAACTAGCCTGATTTACACCACAGATTCCTCAAAAGGCTCAAGATTCAGCAAGAAGTGATTGAGAGACTTTTATTTTATGCAGTGATTGCTTGTTCATATTTAAGAATTTAGAACTCTCAGGGGAACGTAAGCCAGAATATGACCAGAGATTCTGTTCAGCTTAATTTCTCCTGAAACCGCCATCTAATAGTAGCGTTCTTTCTTTGTACAGCTAGGTGTGTGCTTGCTATTCAGTTTTTTTTTT